TCGAAGTACTTTGCATTCATTTAATTTATTTAATTTTCACAACCAGCCTATGAGATATGTACTATATTACTATTTTACAGATAAGGAAAACTGAGACACAGTAACTTGCCCAAAGTCACCTAGTAAGGTCAGGCTTCAAACCCAAGTAGTCTTTACATTTGTCAGTCAAAATACTACACCAGGGGTTGGCAAACTGTAACCAGTAGGCCCAATCCAGCCTGCTGCTTGTTTTTATAAATAAAGTTTTATTGCAATACAGAAACACACATTCATTTATATATGGTCTATGGCTGCTTCCAGACTACAACAGCAGAACTGAATAGTTATGACACAGACCATATGGATGGCCTACAAAGCCAAAAAGACTTACTATCTGGCCCTTTACAGAAAAGGTTTGCTGACCTCTGCATCAGGCTATACTCTGAGGCAATAAGGTGACAACATAAAGCATTTTGAAAAGTACCTGTTCAAATAGTAAGTGCTCAATAAAAGTAAGTTATTACTATCATCACTGCTATTGGTTATGGTAGAGGTGGGAGCAGCGAGACCCTACACTCTACAGTGCCATCTCTACGGAGGCCCCCAGTTCAGCATCCACCACTCACCGTGCCAGTAGTTACAGATGGAGAATTCCTGGCCCCAGGGGCTATAACAGATCCGGTAGAGATTAGACCTCATGGAGGTGGGGAACAGCCACTTCAAATAATCTGTGTCTGGCAAGAGTAACAACAGTGCCAGGTGACCATAAATCTCTTGCCCCCCACTCCAAACTCCAGGCCTTCTATGGAGCTCAGTGCCCACTCACCTCCATACTGTCCCATCTGTGGAGAAGAGAGGGAGATGAAAGAATCCACATTGTGATCGTCCATGACAGAGAGCAGTGCTCGGCACACGAGGCCCCCTGCAGGCAGAACACATTGGGCAGGGACTTCAGGACAGCCAGGCCAACAGTACCTGCCCCCACTGTCCCCCCCAACACACTGTACATAAGGGAGACTGAGGCTCAGAGAAGACAGGCACACCCTGTGCCAACAGATCACAACACATCATGTAAGTAACAGAGCCAGAATTAGATACTGGGCCTCCTGACCCTAACTCTAGGATGCTTTCACCTGCCCCATTAGCCTTTATGTCCAAGTACATGGGTAATGGGGAAAGAAGGGGTAGCAGTGCAGGGAGCCTCCCTCCCATTCAAGACAGAGATAAGTCCCACGTGCTGAGGGAAGTCAGAAAAGAAGGGCTCAGGTACCGGAGCTCTGGCTGGAGCAATGTGGTTCAGGAAAAGGGACACTAGGAAGCATCCCTCAGATCCGGACCAAGCCTCGGCTAGGGCTTAGGAGTCGAGGGCAGAGGAGTTGCCTACCCTGCGAGTAGCAGATGAGATGCACCCCTCGAGGGGCCTTTGCCATGATGGGGACCACAGCCTCTCGGAACCCTTGCACCTGTTCCCACAGGGGTCGCAAGCTCTCTCTCCCATCGAAGAGATCGAGCACTGTCACCACAGTCCCAGGGTGTGTCTGTGGGAAGGGGGCAATGCAGCCACCAAGGATGAGCTAAGAACCCCCGACACACCACCCCCTCGCCCGTGTCCACATGCCTATTGTGCCCTGCCAGAACCAGGGATCCCATCAGCCCCCAACTGTCCCCACGCCAGCACCAGCTCCCCGAGGATCTGGGCAGGACCTGAGGGTGGCTTTCAGTTCCCCGCTCTCCCTCCCCGGGCACTGTAGACGCCTCTAGTGCCCTCCGCCCCGAGTGTCCTTTGCCAGACCTCGTTGATGTATTCCAGCAGGTGGCGGAAGCTGTACGAGCTGTCGAAGAGCCCATGCACCACGATGACCGGCTTGTAGGACGTGTGGCGGGGCGAGGGGGCTGCGGGCAGCAGCAGCGGCAGGAAAGGCAACAGAAGCAGGACCCACGCCGAGGGGAGCCGCTGCCCCCAGAGCCCCAGCATGCTCCCGCCTGAGAAGGGGACGATGAGGGCCTGTGAGGGAGATGACAACACCCTCTCCCCTCGGAGCAAACGCCGGCAATCAAGCCTACCCCCCCCGCCCCCGCTTCCACGCTAGGTCTTTGTTACAAAATAGCCTACTTTTAACATACTCCAGTCGTCTCCCTACAAACACACCCCCCTACCACGTTGACGCACCAACGCGCACCCGAAGTCCCGCCCCTAACTCAGCGCCTGAGGGACTCGGTCCTAGGCCCAGCATCTTCCTAACGCGTCACCCCAGCCATGCACAACCAAGGGTTCTGCAAGACCCCTGAGGAGCAGCCCAGGCCCCCTGGAAAGTGCAAACTTCCACCTGGCCTGGGTCTGTAGGCCCTCGCTCCGCCCGCTGTTTACTTCTCCCACGTCTGGAACCCAGGGGGGAGGGGAAGGGTTTGAGGAGAGAGCGCGCACGGGAATGACGGACAGGGGGGTGGGCAGGGCTGGCTGCTCGGGGTCGCGCACAGCCGTCACGTCCGGGGCTTTCCCTGGCAACCGTGTGAGCGTCCCCCGCAACGCAGGCCTGGGACCGGAGGGACAATGGAACATTCCATTGCGCCCTAGGAGTGGGGGAGGAAATAGGCGGAGCGATGCATTTAGTCCGGTGGGGAGAGGAAAAAGCAGCAAACATGTCCTGGAAATCGAAAGAAGGACGCTCCAGACCCCACTGCACCCACCCACCCAAGGGTCTGATTTCCCTGCCTTGATTCCCCGCACTTCCCAATCCAGGGTCTGGCTCCGCAGCGGAACGTGAAGTTTTCTCTACCCAAGGGGCGGTGCGGGTGGACTGGGAAAAGGTAGTCCTCCGCATTTTGTCGGCGCTGGGTGAGTGGTGGGTGAGTGGCAGGGTGGTCTGGAGGACTGATGCCAACCCGGGCGTACCCTTCAACCCCCGCCCACCCCAGGTAGGCGTCTTACAACTCTTCATTCTGAAGTGCGTGTAGTGCCCTTGTCTCCAGAGACGCAGAGAGTCCTCGATGCCTCTCGAGCTAAGAGTAGCCTGGCCCAGTTTCTGCTGCCCTACTCCACTCCCCTCCCCATATACGACCCACCCCAAAGGGGCGGAGGGCCCCTGGGCTACACTGACTCAAGCCCACGTGATTAAGACTAGTCTTTCAACCGGAACGACCCCTACAATCCAGCCCTCAGAGCTCTCTGTGGGGGGCTCCCGACCCACACTCTCTCCATCAGACTTCCGAGCTCCAGGCGCTCGCACCCCTCCGCCTATCTGGGACCCCTACTCGATATCCTGGTGCCCCATTGGGGCCTTTTACTCGTTAGGGCTTTTACATTCAAAGATGTTTCCCCTAAGAAAAGGATTTCTCAGCATGTCTGAGCCCCTCCCTCTGTTCACAAGCTCTTTGCTAGGTCTAAACTCGTCTCTCCCAATCTAACCAATTTGCCCTCGGCTTTCTGTAATGTGAGGATGAAGTGGGGGAAGGGGTTAGGGGCTCACGCAAACGCCTGAGAAACCAGGACGACTGGTATGAGGCCGTGATCTAAATCTCTAGGACCTGGGACTGGTTCAGGCGAGGGCCTCTGTACCTCTCTGTAGGCTCTGCTTGGACACAGGGAGGGACACAGCCCGGAGAGCTTCTGCTGCATCTGGGGGCTGGGAAGTACTAGTCTAAAGATGGGGTGGGGGGCGGATAATGATTCTCTGGCTGTGTTATTGCAAAAAACCCAACTGGTGTAAATCTCGGTAGACTGCCTATCCTCACCCTCCCCCCACCCACGCGCTCCCAAGATGTAATAGGCAAATAAAGTCTGCAATAGTGGGCTACGCCTCAGGTCGACTCAGGAGGTGGAGATGCATCTTGGTGGCAGTGGTGGGTGGGAGTAGGGGGATTTAGGGAATGGATCTGAACACTGACTGGGCCAGGAACGCTAAGCAGCCCAACCAGCAAACGGAGATGGGGGAGTAAGCACACATTCCCAAACCCAGCTGACGGAAATGAGCAGTTGTCCCCACCACCCCCCTCCCCAAAGAGCTCCAGCTCCTTAATCCTGGATGAAGAAGGTATCTATGCATCCCCCCACCCCACCCCTGCAACTCTTTCTCTCCCTCTTCCCTGGCTGACCGAATTCTAGACCTGAACCTCCCACTTCATTGCCAGGGTGGCAGGTCTGCCGTACCCTGGGAACTTTTCAAACCACCTCAGTTCTCAACTCTGCAGAATTCTCTCTCACACATAGTTATTCGTCTCTTCTAAAGAGGAGGACGCTAGGGCCAAAGATTTAGTAGAACATCCTGGCATCTTGCAGGAAACTGAGGAAAGCTAAGGTGGGGAAGACCTGTCAGAGTGAACCAGGTCTAGAGGGAATTGGGGTATTGAATCTGCTGAGAACCTGCCCGCTTCCTCCCACAATATAATCACTACAGAGAATCTTGAAGGGGGAAACTCTAGAGAGTTCTGTCTCCCTCCTTCCTTCCCTTAGTCCCTCCCCCTCGCCTGCTCTTGCCTCCGTTTCCATGACAACTCCAAGGGAGCCTAAACTGGGAGCTTGAATGCCGGGGTGAGAGGAGGAGAGAGGTGGTCCGGTGTCCCGTCCCGCGGGAGAGTCAACGCGAGCCCTGGAGGAAGGAGTGGGAATTGGGAGAGGCAGGAGACACAAGAAATGGAGACAAGACAAGAGTCTGATCAAGTCTTGTTTATTGGCAGCAGAGCAGAGGTTTAAGTAAGGTGGAAAGAGGAAGTAACAGGGGCGGTGCTTTCCGAGGCCCTAGCTCACAGGCCATCCCCGAGCGATTCTCAAGAACCACATCATCACTTTCGGCTGGGAACGTGTAAATGGAAACTTACAGACACTTTGCAGGCTAGTCGGCCATCTTAGGCGAGCAACTGCCGAGCCTCATGGCTCCGGACAGTCCGAGAGCCGGGAGAGACCGAGAGGGGAGAACGTCTGAAACGAGAGGGGACAACGTCTGAAACGCTCCCCCTCCCTCGCCTCGGTCCCTTTAAGCTCCCCCCCTCCCCGCTCTCCCTCCGCCCCCCGCAGCTGCCTTCATCTCTCCATCTCTGCGCTGCTGCCGTCTGCGCCATCCCGCACCCAGACTCCGGAGCCAGCGGGGCCCTCCTCCCCCCCGACTCCGGCTGCAGGGACCCTGTCCCAGCGAGACCGCAGGCATGTCATCCGAAAAGTCAGGTAAAAAACAGCAACAAAACCTCCTGCCCTCTCCACCGTTTCCTGACTCTCCCCACCCTTGCCCCAACCCCCTTCCTTACCCCTCCCTAGCGGTGGTTCTGTTTCATCCCCCTCTCTCCAGCTCTCAACACCCCCACTCCTTCTCTTTCTATCTCCCTCCCTTCTCTTCCTTTCCTCCTTCCAGTCTCAGCGTCTGCCCCTTGCCAACAACATGGGCAGGGGGCAGGTTGAGAGGATGAAGGAGGTACAGCGTGGCTTAGCATCAGCCAGGTACTGCGGGGATAGCATCATTTGGAGTGACAGATGGACAATCTCAGGCTGGCATGGAGAAATCCAGAGGGGAAATATGGAGACGCGATCCGATGGGGGTTCTCAGGGGAGTAAAATCCGGAGGAGTCTTCCTTATCTTCTCTAAAAGAAGTCCTGAGATTCCCAGAGAGGCTAGGGCACTCTCTCCCCCACTGAAGGAAGGCAGAGTGGAACATGTCATCCCACATGTGTTTCTACAACTGTTGAATTGAGCATATATTAACACAGGACTGCATGTCTACACATATGCATACACAGGACTAGGTCGGATAGGCCAGCCCAAAGGCAGCCATAGCAAAGGATAGAAGATTGGCTCTGCCAGTGAGAGCTGTGTGCATGTTGACGAAAAAGAAGGAAGAGGAGCAGAGGAGAGTTGTGACCTGAAAACTAGACGGAAAGGAGGAAGGGGGTGCAGACGGCCTAGATACAGCCCTCCTCTTGCCCCTCAAGTGAGAGCTGGCTTCTCACCTGTCTGTCTCTCTCTTCCCCCCCTACCTCTACCCCCACCCCGTCTGTCCCATTATCTCTCTCCATCTCTGACCCGCCGTGTCTTCCCTTACCCCTCCTCATCTCATCGCTGTCTGCCTTAACTCTTCCCTATCCTCTCCTTGGCTCACCGCCGCAGGACTCCCAGACTCAGTCCCTCACACCTCTCCGCCACCCTACAATGCCCCTCAGCCCCCGGCCGAACCCCCAGCCCCACCCCCACAGGCAGCCCCCTCCTCGCACCATCACCACCACCACCACTACCACCAGTCTGGCACTGCCACCCTCCCGCGCTTAGGGGCAGGTGGCCTGGCCTCTTCCGCAGCCACCGCTCAGCGTGGTCCCTCGTCCTCCGCCACGCTGCCGCGGCCCCCCCACCACGCCCCGCCCGGCCCTGCCGCTGGGGCGCCCCCACCCGGCTGCGCTACCTTGCCCCGCATGCCACCCGACCCTTACCTGCAGGAGACTCGCTTCGAGGGCCCGCTTCCCCCGCCGCCGCCCGCCGCCGCCGCCCCGCCCCCGCCGGCGCCGGCCCAGACTGCACAGACCCCCGGCTTCGTGGTGCCCACGCACGCGGGGGCGGTGGGCACCCTGCCGCTGGGGGGCTACGTAGCGCCGGGATACCCCCTGCAGCTGCAGCCCTGCACTGCTTACGTGCCTGTCTACCCGGTGGGCACGGTGAGTGCAGGGCAGACGGGCGTGGGAGGAGGGGGGCACGGTGGAACAGGACTTGAAATTGGGGACACAGTGGGGGCTGGTGGGATGGAGAAAGAGGGCCAGGGAACAGGTAGTGTTCCTGGGAAAGCCGTAGAGATAACAGAGCCTGAGACAGGAGGGACAAAGGAAAGACTTGGGAATGGGGGCGAGTGGGTAGGGCAGTCTGGAGGGAAGAAACAAGGTCTGAAGTGAGGCCAGGAGAGCCTGGGTGTGACCATCCCTTGGGAGAGAGAGTGTAAAGACCCCCAAGAGTATGGAGGTTAATGACACAGTGAAGGGAGGAGAGGGGCCTAGGCAGAATTTATGGGTGTCTGGGAAGGGTAGTGGGCGATCGTTTCTTCGAGAAGCAACAGGTAAGGATGCTGTCTTTGAAATCGCTTTGCCAGCCGCCCAACCCTGGTAGGCCGGGAGAGGGTCAGAGTGACGTCTCTTCCCCGCAACTTTCCTTCCACAGCCCTATGCAGGCGGGACTCCAGGGGGGACGGGAGTGACCTCGACTCTCCCGCCGCCGCCACAGGGCCCCGGGCTGGCCCTACTGGAGCCGAGGCGCCCGCCGCACGACTACATGCCGATCGCGGTGCTGACCACCATCTGCTGCTTCTGGCCTACGGGCATCATCGCCATCTTCAAGGCAGTGCAGGTGGGAGCGGCGGGGGGTGGGGCTCGCTCTGTTTTTCTTAGTCCCAGGGAGTGCTGGGCCTCTGGGGATGACTTGAGAGGGAGGCTGAGGCGTTCGAGCGGGGCAGCAGCTCTTACACTTCCCCTACCCCATGCCCCGTAGGTGCGCACGGCCTTGGCCCGCGGAGACATGGTGTCGGCCGAGATAGCTTCCCGCGAGGCCCGGAACTTCTCCTTCATCTCCCTGGCCGTGGGCATCGCGGCCATGGTGCTCTGTACCATCCTCACCGTAGTCATCATCATCGCCGCGCAGCACCACGAGAACTACTGGGATCCCTAAAAACGCCCCCAGCCCGGCCCCACCCTGCGCCCCTCGACCTCCCAGGTGCGTTCTGCAGTCTTGCCGCGGACCGGGTGGGTGCCCTGCACACCCGCCTCTGGGGCCGTCGGACTTCGCCACTTCTTAAACTCCGCCTCCAGGGAACCTCTCATCTTTCGAGCAAGCTCCGAATTCAGTTCCTCAGGATCCCCTCTAAAGCCCACACCCCTAGGGACGCCGCTTTTTGGGATCTCGGCCCTGTGTTGCTCCAGGCTCCCACTCCTTCAAAGTACAGCGCCACAGGCCGAGCACCCTCGCTCTGGTCCCCAAAGACCCGCCGCCTCTATAGGCTCCGCCCCAACCCTGACAAACCCCGCCTCCAGGTCGGCAGGCTCCGCCTTCTTTTCTTCTCCGCGGGGTGATTCTGTCCGGTGATTGGGCTTGTGGCTCCAGGCCTCGCCCACGGACACACACAGTCTTCTCTTTCTTCCCAGGAGGACCGAGCCCCGGGGCAGCGACGCCCCCACACGCTACTCCCCTTTTTGCAGTACAGTTTCGTCCCTCCTCCACCCAGGTCTCTGCCTATTTTCTTGCTAATCCCAGAACCTCTCCTTTTGTTGTTTTTGGAAGGACATTTGGAAAGTTCCTGGTTTAGGACCCTTCTTCCCGGGATAAGAAACTTGTCCTGTTCTCTGTAAATACGCCCTTCCACCCATTCCACCCCCTGGGCAGCCGGCTGAGGGGAATCCAGGATGCGGACCTCCCAATCCCAGAGGAGAGCCAGCCGGCTCCCGGTTCCCCTTGGCGGTCCCGCCTTGTTCTGATCTGTGTGTGCGTGTGTGCGAACTTCTGAACGACGATATTAAAGAGACTTAGTCGATGTATCGCCCGCAATTCCAAAGACTGTGGCCCCATGAAGACCCTGCCCTTTTGGTTCCCTCTTTCACTTTCTTTCAGCTCCTCTGCCAGGGAAAAAAGAAAGACGACAGAGACTAACGCGGGAGAGGCAAGTGCCCAGACCACCAGAAGGTCACACAAATATGGGGGCCGCAGGGGCTCCCTGGGAACCTGCTAGGGAAGACCTCGGGGTCTACTCTCAGAGGGCCTTTCCTTCCTCAGCACTTCCTTCCCACTCCCTACTATCCCCAGAACTCCAGGAAGGCAAGAGGAAAGAAGAGGGCAGACCATTGTGAAGAAGTTGGTTAAGGACAGGGTGACAGGGGCAGGGAAAAGATTCCAGCTGCCCAGAGCTGTTCCTGACTGCAGGCTGGAGGGTAGCAGACCACTTGGATTAGAGCCCTACATGATGTGCTGTACCAGGCAAAAGGGGCGGAGAGCTGTGGAAGCCCCAGGGAGGAGGTCCATAGCCTCTCAAGTCTCCCTGGGGCTAGGTGCCCTCTCCTACCCTGAGGCCTCTTTGTGAGGGAGGTGGCAATTAGGGGGTGACACAAGCAGTAGGCAAGACAGGGTCCTACCCTGAATTTATGCATTTATACAACATGCAAACTCCATGCAGGATACTGGTGAGACATCTGCCCGGACAGCAGGTGTGACCCCTGACCTCATGGAGCTTACAGTCTAGAAGGGAAGCCATGCACTGAGATAGGAGACACCAGAGGAGCGTGGGGTGAGACATGGATGTCATGGGTTCTCCTTTGGATGTTTCAGACTTAATGCACCTACCTTACCAAACTTATGGGAAAAGCATCCATATTTGCAGCTTCTACTTCCTCACCCCTAAATACCCTTTTTTTCTTAAATAGGGGAGTGTTACTAACAGAGATGTTTCTGTGTCTGCCTTTCTTTCATACCCACTATTTCTTTACTCCTTGAAATATGCTTTTACTCCCTACTCTACTGAGACCACACTCTCAAATGGCACCCAATGATCAGAGGTTACCAGAGGAGCCCAAATTAATGGCATTTTCATGGTACTCTGCCTCTCTGAACTCTGCCATGTTTGTCCCTTGACCCTGGAGTCCCCACATCTCCAGGTTCATAGACATGTTATCTCCTCCCCACCCTCCACCCCCAATTATCCTTCTTCTGCCCTTCCCCTTTGCTTTTTCTCCTCCCTTCTCGTGTGTCTATCTCTGGATTCTTTCCTTCTCTGAGACTTTCCCTTAAAAAGCTCATCCATTCAACTCAGCCATCTCTAACCAAATGCTTCTCCAACCTGTGTGTCACATGCAGACACTCGTCCAGTGCCTGCTGAGGAAGCACAGACAAACAGACCATGCTGCTGGTTCACAAAATCAGCATGTTCCACACCAAACTGATGAAATGCCACCAAAACCTGCTTCCCTGTCTCCATTTATGGCACCATTGTCCCCATCGCCCTTCCTTATCTGAAAACTTGCTCCCTCCCCCACCGCCCCTCTGCCTACTTTTGGTGTCCTCTCAACCCCAGTTAATTCTACCACAATATCTTTAAGTTTTCCCCAGCCCTTGCCAGAAAAAGTACCTCATCTAGGTTCGTTGCGACAGCTTCCCCAGCAGGTCTCCCTACTTCCCACCCTGTTCCAAGTCTCCCTGGCCACTGCTGTTAGATTAGCCTCCCTAAACACACTCGTATGCAACTCCACTGCTCAAAAGCCTCTCAGGTTCCCTATTGCTTACTCAATTGTTTAAAAAATTTCAATCTGGCCTTTAACTCCTTCTGTAATTTAAAATCATCCAGCTTCTCTGTTCGACCTAATTTCCAAACAAATTGAATTACTCATCATTGCCATCTCCAGGTATTTGCCCAGTTGCTCTCAAATCTTAGACCTCCTTCTCTAGTCTCTGCTTATTTATTATAAACCACATTGTTTGAAGCTTGTCTCCAGCTTCAGATCTCCTCTAGGCTTTTGCTCTTTGTTCTCCCCCTCTTCACATCTGCGTCTCTACTTGGTGAAATTTTGTCTATCCTTCAAGGCCCAGATCAACTCATCTAGCAAGATCTCACTCTGCCCTCTGGGTTGGATTAGAGCGGGTGGGTTTCTAAATATAGCCCCAGGCATTCCTTGGGGCAATGGTTCTTACCCCTGGCTACACATTAAAATCCTCTGGGGAACATTTAAAAGTCCCAAAGCCCAGGTCTCATCCTAGACCAATTAAATCAGAATCTCTGGGGGTGGGACTCAGGCATCAATATTTAAGATATGCCTAGATGATTCCAAATCCTAGGCACCTCAAGGACCATCCAGGCAGAGGCGAGGGGAGAGGCCAAAGGTGGCTTAAAATAGGACATTTTTTTTTTTTGAGACAAAGTCTCGCTCTGTCACCCTGAGTGGCATCATCGTAGCTCACTACAACTTCATACTTCTGGGCTCAAGCGGTCCTCCTGCCTCAGCCTCCTGTGTAGCTGTTCCACACTGTACTCATCTCTCACCGCACTTCTGGCCCCTCTCCCTATGACACATTTCATCCCCGGTTAGATCCCACTCTGCCTGCTCCACACCTGTGCCCGACAGCTGGGGAAAACCCACAGTCATACTGAGTGGGTTCGCTTCCCGTGGCCCGCCAGCTCACACTTCTTTCCTTAGTTGGTTCACATCCCCCAAATCTGAGACCACAATTTCACAAGACAATAACCTTTCTTCCTATTTCAGTGAGAAAACAGAAATTTTCAGATGAGAACTTCCTCATAGTCCCACCCCAAATCCACCAGCCTACCTGCATCTCTGCCACAGAGGCAGAGCAGCTGACCTGCTCCCAGCGCCCCACCATCTGTGCCCTGGGATCCTTCCCAGGTGCTCAGAGACAGGACTCCTGAAGTTACCCTCCTCTACCCCACATAGTTGGTTTTCCCCTCTTTACTGAAACATTCCCACCATCATACAAACATGCTATAATAATATACCTTGTGTTTGAAAAGAAAAAAAATAACTGTTTTGCTACTGATGTATGTAGTATAAGTAGAACATTCAGAATAGTGTTTATCCCTTGTCAGTAAGAGTCTGGCTGCAGAGGAACATCCAGGGAGCTTCAACAATGCTGGCAAGTTACTTCTTAAGCTGCCAGATGTTCATTTAATTATTCTCCGTAGTATATATGAGTATATGCATATAAATTATAATTCTACATATGTGAAATAATTCACATTTTACTTGTAAATTTAAACTCTCACTGGACCCAGCTCCCCCTATCAGTGCTCCATTTCTCTCTTCACTTTACAACAAAACTTCTCACTGCCTCCACTTGCTGCTTCCCATTCTCTGTTGAATTTCCTTCAGTCGGGCTTTCATCCCCACCACTGCACTAAAAACACACGTCAGGGTCACCAATGACCTCCGAGTTTCTAAACCCAATGGTCAATGGTCAGCTCTCATCTTAACTACAGTTTGAATCAGTGTTTCTCAGTTTTGAGATTACTGACATTTTGGGCCAGATAACTCCTTATCACGGAGGGCTGACCTGGGCATTGTCTTGCCAAATGTCTTCTGGGGAACACCTTGACCAGTGGTTTTCAAGAGTGGGTGATCCTCCCACACCACCTCCAGGGACATTTGGCAATGTCTAGAGATGTTTTTGGTCATCACAACTGAGGAGGTGCCCCTAGCATCTAGTGAGCAAGAAGCCAGGTATGCTGCTAAACAGGCTACAACACACAGGACATGATAAAGAATTATCCGGCCCAAAATGTCAATAGTGCTAAGGTTAAGAAACCCTAGTCTAGAGCCACCAGCAACATTTGATACAGTTGATCACATCCTCCCACTTCAAATGCTCAGATGCTTTCTCCATTTCAAATACTCTCTCTGGATCCAAGTAAAGAAAGTATTCCCTAGTTCCTTATTTGCTGATCCTTCTCAGTTTTCACTGACAGTTCCCAAATATTATTTTTTCTTTTATTTGCAAGGAGAAATAGACAAAAATTTAGCATTTTTTTTTTGAGACAGGGTCTCTGTTGCCCAGGCTAGAGTGCAGTGGTATCGTCATAGGTCACTACAGCCTTGAACTCCTCGGCTCAAGCTATTCTCCTGCCTCAGCCTCCTGAGCAACTAGAACTACAGGCAGGCCCCCACACCAGCTATTTTTTTCTTGTGTTTTTGTAGAGACAGGGTCTCACTATGTTGCCCAGAGCTGGTCTTGAACTCCTGGCCTCCAGTGATCCTCCCAACTTTGGCCTCCCAAGTGCTGAGATTATAGGCATGAGCCACCGCACCCAGCCCAGACCCCTAAATATTTATCGGAGGGCCTCAAGACTCTATCCTTGGCCCTCTCTTCTAACCCTAATCCAAGCTCCCATGCTACCATTGTCCCTTGAGTAGCCCCTTAATTGGATTTTCTGCTTCCATTTTTGACTGATATAGTTTATCCTCTATGCAGAAATCAGATATTTAAATTATCAGATGATAACATATTCCTGGTCAAAACCCTCTGATGGCCCCTGATCACACTTAGAACAAAATACAAAATCTTTCCCTTGGCCTATGAAGCTGACCCGGCCTTGTTCCTCCCCACCTTTCTGGCTGCATCCCCTACCACTCTTTCCCTTGCTTACTCTGCTCTGCCTATTCTACCCTCCTTTCTGTTGTAGCTGCTGTGAATTTAGCATAACAAAATCCAATTTATTCCTGCCTCAGAGCCTTTGCACTCCCTTTTTCTCTTTCTGGACACTCTTCCTCCAGATATTTGCATGGCTGCTCCCTTACATCATTTATGTCTTTGCACAAATATCACCTCCACAAGGTGGCTTTTGCTGATCATGCAATTAAATATAGCACCACACACACCTGCTAGAATTTTCTATCCATTCTCTTACCCTGCTTCATTGTGTTGATAGCACTTGTCACTGCCTTACATCGTATTATATCTTATTGATCGATGTTTATTGCCTATCATTTTCACTTGAATGAAAGCTACCAGAGATCCAGGGCTTTTTTCCACTGC